CCTCCATGCCCCCTCCATCCCCTCTCGTCCCCTCCATTCCCTCTCCAAGAACGACCCCGTTGGATCTCAGCCCGGAGGGGTGTCCCAAGGGGTCCCCTGGCCAGGGGGGCCCCGGGGGGTCGCAGCCCCACTCACGTGGGGTGCTGGAGCGGCACCTCGAGGACCAGCTCCGGGGGGAGCGGGAAGAGCTCGGGGGACTCCTCGGGGCCCTGCAGCAGCAGCGGCAGCACGTCGAAGCGGCCTCCCCCGGGGGTCCAGCCGTGCTGGATGCAGAGCTGGGAGGGGGGGACAGTGTCAGGGGGGGTCACCAGGCAGGGGAGTCTGGGGACACAGGAACTGGGGGGCAAGATGGAGCACGAGATGAGGAAGGATGGAGGGGGCGTGAGGAGATGGGGGTGGAGGGGGGATGGAGTGAGGATGAAGGGATGGAGAGGGTTTGGAGGAGGTGTGGAGGGGGGGACAGAGAGGCGAAGGAGGAGGAGATGAAGGGGGGGATAGAGGGGGGATGAGGGTGGTCTGGGGGCCCAGGGGTGCCCCACCTCGGTGATGTCCACGTTGGCGGGGTCGCCCCTGACGGAGCCGTCGGGCTGCCGGTACCCGGCGTAGCGGATCAGCTGCGGGTTCCAGATGCGGAAATCACCCCGTCCCGGTGCCCGCGGCGGGAAGATGGTGATGGCAGACCTGGGGGGATCGGGGGGGGCCGTCACAGACCCCCTCCGGCAACGGGGGTCGGGGGGGCCGGGAGGGCACTCACCGGATGTTTCCGCGGTTGGTGGCGAACTGGATGTGGGAGCAGAGGAGGCTGAACATCTCCCCTACCCCTGCACAGTCCCGGGCATCAAACACCTGCGGGGGGACAGGGTGGTGTGTGCTCGGTGTCCCCACGGGTCGTGGTGGGCGTGGTCCCAGGGGTGGGGTCGCACCTGGAGCTTGTTCCACTGGATGCGGCCGACGCAGCGCGCCGCGTTCCGCCAGGCCTGCTTGGCTCCGAAGGCCAGCTCGGGCTCCCGCAGCCGGTACCAGCCCGAGGCCTCGATCTCCGCAGCCACCTCCCGCAGCCGCTGCGTGTGTGCCGGGGAGTTCTCCCTGCGGGGGGGACCCTCAGCACCCCCAGAGACATGGACACCCCCCCCCCAGCACCTCCAGAGACACAGGGACACTCCCAGCACCCCCAGAGACACAGGGACACCCCTCCCAGCACCCCCAGAGACACAGGGACACCCCCAGCACCCCCGGAAACACAGGGACACCCCCAGCACCTCCAGAGACACAGGAACCCCTCCAGCACCCCCAGAGACACAGGGACACCCCCAGCACCCCCACAGACACAGGGACACTCCCAGCACCCTCAAAGACAGAGGGACACCCCCAGCGCCCCCAGACACTGCCACCTCCCACAGCTTCTGCATATGCACCCCCCCTGTGGGGGGGGACCCTCAGCACCCCCAGAGATAGGGACCCCCCCTTGCTCACCGCCGCAGGGACACGTAGTACTGGGTGATGAAGTCCCGGGCCAGCTCCAGCAGCTCCTCGGGGGGTCGCATCCCCTCGGGGGTCGGGGTGGGCAGCGGCCGCGGCAGCACCAGGGACCCCAGGCAGCGCTGCCCCGAGCAGGGCAGCTCCTGGGGGAAAGACCGTGTCACTCGGGGCCCTGCCCAGACCCCCGGGACAGAACCCCCGTCCCAGCATCCCCGTCCACACCCCCCTCGCCCGTGTCTGTCATCCCGGCACTCCCCAAGCCGCACCCCCGGCATAAATCCCCGTCCTGGAATCCCCCCCAAAGCCCCCCGCCAGCCCTACACCCCCCAAACCTGCACTCCCCCCCAACCCTGCCCCCTCACTTTGCCCCTCCAATCTGCCCCCCAACACGCACCCCATCCCACACCCTCCAACCTCCATCCCTGTGCCCCCATCCCTGCACCCCCCCATCTTAGCACCCCCCAGCCCCACCCCTGTCCCCATCCCCGCGCCCCCCGGCCCCGCACCTGCCCCGCGGTGGCGCAGAGCGTGTCGTAGCTGATGCTCCCCGTCTCCCAGTTCTTCAGGCGGGCGAAGCGCGGGGGCTCCGCCGGGTGAGCGGGCGCCGGGCTGGGGGGGGACACGGGACACCCCTGAGCCCTGCCCGGGCACAGCCGGGCCAGCCGGGGGTCCCAGGGGACGGGAGGGCTCTCGCGGTTCCGACACCGGGACCTCCCCGGGGTGTGGGGACCAGTCCGAGGGGGCTGCGACCCTCGGGGCACGGGCGAGGGAAGCAGTAGGGGTGGGGTGGGGAGTTGCACGACCCCTGTTGCTGCTGGGGGTGTCCTGAGCCCCCGGCTCAGCCCCATGGGGATGGGGGGAGGGTAAGGGCTGGGGTGGGTCATAGGATGGGGGTGCTGAACTTGGGGGGGGCAGCAGTTTGGGGGTCAGGGTATGGGGGGACTGAGCCGAAGGGGGATCTTGGGATCTTGGGGATGGGGGAACAGGAGACGGGACTGAGCCGGAGGGGTCAGGAGTTGAGGGGGTCAGAGGATGGGGAGGCGCGGGGCGTTCCTGGCCCTCGTGCGAGTGTGAACAATGGCCATGAGTCAGAGCGGGCTCCGGGCCACCGGGGGGGGACACACCTCCCGTCCCGTTCCCATCCCCGTCTCCACTGGGCTGGGGGTCCCCACACTTCCCGGGGATCCCCACGCCTCTATCCCCACCCGACCGCATGCACCCCCTCCCCATATATCCCCATCCCCAAATCCAACCCGTCCCAGTGCACCCCAGTGGGTCCCGAGGGCTGCCGGGGCCACGCCGTGGGACAGGGGACACTGGCGTGATGCCACGGGCAGTGGGAGCGGGGCCGTGCTGCCGGTGGGCATCGCGTCCTGCCCCGGTGACCCAAGCGTGCCCAGGGACACCTCCGCGGCAGGGACACCTCCACGGCGGGGACTCGTCTCCAGTGGGCTCCGGCCATGCGGGGATGTCCCCGGGAGCCAGGAGGGGGGTCCCCGTCCAGGTTCGGGGCCGCGGCAAGGTGGGTGCCGATGCCCCGGGGCCCCGTCCGTCCATCCCGTCCCATCCCACCCCGTCCATCCCACCTGTGCACCCACCCGGGGGGCTCGGTGACAGCGGCGATGGCAGCGGTGACAGGAGGGTCCTCGGGCGCGGGGCCGCGCGGGCGCGAGCAGAGGCCGAGGCCGGGGCAGGCGCGGGGGGGCCCCGGGCAGGACCCCCGGCAGGTTCCCCATCGCGGCCCCTCTGAGCCGGGAGCGGCCGCTTCCCGCTTCCTCCGGCCCGGGGAAGTGGTGACGGGGCCGCGACGCCCCCGCCCCGCGCACAATGGGCACCGCCACCGTCACTGCCACCTCCGTCACCTCCACTGCCACCTCCGTCACCTCCACGGCCACCGCCACTGCCCGCCCCTGCCACCACCGGGTGGGACACACTGGGGACCCCGCCGGGGGGGCTTTGGACCCAGTGTGACCCCCGGCACCCCGGTACGTGGCCGTGGGGAGGCAGCGATGGCACCCAGAGTGGGGGACACGGCACCCGTGGGGCGGACATGGCACTGAGGGGGACGTGGGGGACCCGCATGGCACTGGGGGGACACAGCGCTGGAGGTGGCATGGCACTGGGTGGGATACGTGGCACTTGGGGGCACACATGGCCCTGGGGGGACACGTGGCACCTGGGGAGGGTAAATGGCAGCTTGGGGGTACACGTTGCACCCAGGAGGGACACGGCACTGGGGGGACACGGCACTGAGGGGACACGGCACTGGGGGGACACGGCACTGCGGCAGAGATGGGGCACACGTGGGGCACACGTGGGGCACACATGGGGCACACACATGGAGCTCACGGGGACGTGGCACTGGGGGGGATAGGTGGCACTTGGGGACACATATGGCACCGGGGGGAGCCTGGCACCTTGGAGACGCAGTGATGGCACCCAGAGAGAGGACACCGCACCCACAGGACGACATGGCAGTGGAGGGGACACGGCACCCGTGGGGGACACACGCAGCACTTGCGGGGCCGTGGTGGTGGCAGGGACCCCCATCCCGACCGCAGGAAGCTGTGCCCCCCCAGTGCTCTGTGCCGAGTCGTTGGGTGCTCCGGGGGGGGTCCCGGGCCCTCCCAGCCCCCCGGGCCATCCGTGGGGCGGATGTCCGGCGGGACCCCCCCCATTTCCCGCCGCTTCCACCCAGTTCCGGCCATTGACGTGCCGGGCGCTCCCGGGGACCCCCGGATAGGCGCCCCTGGGGCTGGGACACCCTGCGAAGGGGGGGGTGCACCCCCTGACCCTCCCTTTGGGGGGCACTCTGGGAAGCAGCACGGGCTGGGGGGACGTCACCCCCGTTGTCGGCGGGGGAGTCGCACGGTGACCCCGCAGTGGGGCGGGGGGTCCCGGGGGTCGCGAGCGCGGGGACCCCCGGGGCAGGAGTGCTGTTCGGGTGCGGAGGGGCGCGGAGTCACTCGGGTCCCGGCGGGGGGGTCCCGCCGGAGGTCCGCGGGGGGCTCAGCCCGCAGCTCCCGCAGCGACGGGAAACCGCGCCCGGTGCCGGCGAGGCGGTTCCTTCCTGCGGGGCGGGGGAGGCCAGGGGGCGCAGGGGGGGCGCCGCGGCACGGCGGAGGGGGCCGAACCACGGGGAGAACGCCCCGGGGACGGCGGGGGGGGGCACGGAGGGGGCGGCCCCGGCCCCGAACGGGGAGTGGGGCTCGATCATCCCGCCCGGGGGGGGTCCCGGGTTGCCCCCCCGGCCCCAGGGTGTTCCCTGCCCATCCCCCGGGGGGCGGGGCAGGCCTGTCCGTCACGGCAGAGCGCCCATCCGATTGGCTGTGCTGCCCAAGGGGGCGGGGACTCGGCCATGGGACAGGGGGGAGCTGGAGGGGTCAGAGCTTGTCCTGCCCCACAGACCCCCCCTCCCTCCCAGCCCTGCCCCGTACCCCACAGTCCTCCCTGCAGCGCACGGTGTCCCCCAGCCCTACAGCCCCCCCGTGCCCCACAGCCCCCCCCGCCCGGCTGGGCTGAGCTCCGCTTGGTCCGGTCGGTCCATTCAAGTCCGCTCGGGTCTGACGGGTCCGATCGGTCCATTGGGGTCTGGTGGGTCCATTTGGGTCCGGTCGGTCCGGTCGGGTCCGTTTAGGTCCGGTGGGTCTGTTCGGGTCCATTCAAAGCCGTCGGGGCCGGTCGGTCCTGTCGGTCTGGTCGGCTCCGGTCAGTCCGGTCAGTCCAGCTGATTCGGTCGGTCCATTCGGGTCCCGTTGGTCCATTCGGGTCCGGTCGGGTCCGGTCGGGTCCAGTCGGTCCCCGCGGTCGCGGCCCAGCGGCGGAGCCGAGCCGAGGCCGGCGACAGCTTCAGCACCTGGGACAGAGCCCGGGGGCGGCGGGACTGGGAGGGGACTGGGACTGGGACTGAACTCGGATGAAACGGGACTGGGACCGGACTAGGGCCAGGACTAGACTGGAACCAGGAATTAACTGTGTGGGATTGAAATGGGACTGGGAGTGAGATTTGAACTAGGACTGGACTGGGAATGGGATTGGGTCTAGAACTGGGATTGGGACAGGATTGGTATTAGGACTGGGACTGGACTGGAACTGGGATTGGGACTGGAACTCAGATTGGGACTGGAACTGAACTAGGACTGAACTGGAACTGGAACTGGGACTGGCACCCAGACCAGCATCACGATTGGGCCTGGGACTGGATTGAACTGGCACAGGGACTTGGGCCTGGGCTGGACTTGGACCAGGACTGAGATTAGGACTGGACTGGGACTGGGACCAGCATCATGACTGGGACTGGGATTAGGCTGGACTGTGACAGTGATGGGACCCTGACTGGACTGGGACTGATCTTTGATTGTGTCTGGGACCAGGATTGGATTGGATTTGGGCTTGGACTGGAATGGGATTGGGTTGGACTGGGAAGGGACTGGACTGGTCTGGGAGTGGACTAGGACTAGGACCAGAACCGGAACTGGGACTTGGACTGGACTGGAAATGGAACTAGGTTTTGGACTAGATGGACAGGACTACACTGAGGTTGGGACTGGGACCAGAACTGGACTGGATAGAGACTAGGTGGGAACTGGGACTGGGATTTCGACTGGACAGGACTGCGAGTGGGACCAGGACTAAATTGGACTGGAACTAGAATTAGGATTGAATTGAGATTAGGATTAGATCAGGATTGGGACTGGGACTGGTACTTGGAAGGGGACTGGGCTGGGCCGGGCTGGCAGGATTGGGCCTGGGAGGCTCCTGACAGGACGTGGTTGGGGCTGTGCCTGGAGGCTCTGCCGCTGCCCCACCGACCCCACGTCCCCATCTCTAGGTGTTCCAGTGTCTGACTGGCCCTGTATCCCGGACTCCCCGCGTCTTGGTGTCCCCATGTCTTGGTGTCCTCGTGTCCCGCTGTCCCCGTGTCCTCGTGACCCGGTGCCCCCGTGTCGCCATGTCCCCACGTCCCGGGGTCCCCCTGTGTCGCTGCGGAAGGGGGGTCCGGGGTGTCCCCGGGGCGATGGGGGGGGCGCGGTGATCCGTGGGCGGGGCCGTGGGCGTGGTCAGCGGGTGGGCGTGGCCACCGGCACCGCTCGCGCCCCCGGGCCGGGCGGGGCGGGGGGTCCCCGGGCCCCCCCCGGCCATTGGCTGCGGCCGCGCTGGCCCCGCCCCCGGGCCCGGCTGTCAACACGCAGCGCCCGCCGCGCCCGCCGAGCCGGGCCGGGCCGAACCGAGCCGAGCCCAGCC